CTGGCTGTTTTAAACTTTAAAAGGATTCCATAAACCATCCTGGCTGTTTTAAACTTTAAAAGGATTCCACAAACCGCACACTTTGTAGTACGAAAGCAAAATGAAGTGAACGAAATTCGAATCACTTAAACGTAATAATAAAATATCATGAAACAAAGTTTTACAAAATTTAATACGTCACTAAAAATATCGAAAAATTTGCTTGTAACGATCTAGATAACAAGTTTAACACGCTCTTTAGATCTTGTCGTTTTAATAACATTCAATACTTGATTCGAACCACCTTGACATATTATTTCCACATTCTTTTATTTCCAAAGATCACGTGCAGTTCGTTAAAACTCATCATTAATGTGCAGACCAATCACCCATTTGTTTCTTTTCGCGTTCAACTAATTGGCTGGAAGCATTTGAGAACAGCAACAAGAAACGGAAAGTTTCCAGCGGATGTAGCTTCGATTTTTACAGAATATATGTAAATAGGCTTAGCTGTTTAGAAAAAAAGAAACAACTTATACGATTAAATTTGATATTTTCCACATTTTATTATCAATTTGTTTGTTGTTTGTCTGAGCGCTATGCATTAGACTGTTTGCGATCTGTACACCTCGAGGAATCAAAGTATGGATTACATAAAATTACCCCTAAACTACCGGGAGACTATTGTAAACTATCCACCTACAACACTAATCTTAAAGCAATTATATTTTATTTACCTTGTTAAGTTTACACATCATATACAAGGCGTCTGAAAATTACGTTAACAGAACTTATTATCTATGTTAATAAAATGGTTAATATAACTTTTGGACGCTTGTTTGTTTTTTAAATTTCACGCAATACCACACGAGGGTTATCTGCGCTAGCCGTCCCTAATTTAGCAGTGTAAGACGAGAGGAAAGGCAGCTAGTCAACTCTTGGGCTACTCTTTTACCAACGAATAGTGGGATTTGACCGTCACATTATAACGCCCTCACGGCTGAAAGGGCGAGCATGTTTGGTGTGACGGGGGATTCGAACCCGCGACCCACATAGTGCGAGTCGAGCTCCCTAACCACCTGGCCATGCCGGACACAGTGTCTAATTTTTGATTATGATAAAACGGTCTGATCAGAAGTTTTAACTTACATCGAACGTTGAGAAAATATCCGAATGAAGTGAAGAAGCCAAACAGATGTTTTGTGGTACATTTATACCAGCCAGCATCTTTTCTGGAAATTGAAGTAAAATTAAGATATCCTCCAGAGGAAACATCGAAAGGAAGTGGGCCTTGATCCTTTTGCCACAAGGGGTCGCTCGGGGGGTTGGCTTCGACATCACACTTTAAAGATGCAGCCATACCTTCTACGATAGGAATCCCAAAGCCTGGTTCTCTGCTTATCGAAAACGTGGGGCCATCTAGAATGAGACAAATTGAAATCTCGAATCTAACCTTTTTTTTTGTAACAGTTGAGCTATGACATAGAGTACAGAATGACTAAATTCGAATAATGACAGTAGCAACGCAGTTATAATGTATATTAAACAGCACTGAATTTAAAGTTCTATATAAATAAACTAACAGAAACTTTATATTGCTTTAAATGATTTAAATTTGTAACTACTACCGTTTCTGGTGGCATTGTAATATTAAATAGCACTTAATCAACTACGTAACATTATTCAAGGGGTGTACACAAAACTTTTTACATAGAATATTCTTTTGTTTTCTTGATTTCGTGGTAAAAATGCAAAGAAACACAAGTGATATAAAAGATACGTGTTTTTAATATCACTGATTGAACCAACTGCTCATTATCAAATGAAAGATAAAACTTTTGCTCATTAGGGCCACGATAAGTACTGGAAAAAAAAAACTGCTTCGCATTGTTACCTGAAAAAATTTCAAGTCACTGCTAATAGCAGATTTTATTGTTAAACATTTCCATTAGCGAATGGGAAAGAATTCTTATAACTAAACTATTTTTTTCTAGTTCTATTAATCTAAAAACGATACCTGGAAACAACGGATTTTTTTTTCTATTCGATAACCTCAGGAAAAGGAATAATTATTAGCTCTGTTCATTGATTAAACTTTAGAGGAAACGTTCCACTTGGGCTCATTACGAATGACACCACTTAAAGGTTAAATAATAATTTAACTTATAGAAGAATATCTGTAAAGTTTACACGTGGACTCTGCTGTCTTTCTTTATTATTTTTATATTTAAGCTTTTCTGTGTTGTCCATTATATATATATATACATATCACCTATCGGACAATGGTTGGTCGTAGTGAGGAATATAACAGATAATATCTAACAACTTCAGGTTTACATAAGAATTCCCGATATACGTTTGTTTATTTGTTTTGAATTTCGCGCAAAGCTACATGAGGGCTATCTGCGCTAGTCGTCCCTAATTTAGCAGTGTAAGATTAGAGGGAAGGCAGCTAGTCATCACTACCCACTGCCAACTCTTGGGCTACTCTTTTACCAACGAATAGTGGGATTGACCGTCACATTATAACGCCCCCACGGCTGAAAGGGCGAGCATGTTTGGTGTGACGGGGATTCGAACCCGCGACCCGCAGATTGCGAGTTGAGCGCCCTAACCACCTGGCCATATTTGGCCCCCGATATACGGAGAGGATAGTTAAAACTATTCCTCATTATAAGATGTGTAGTTGGGATTTTGTTTTTTAATCTTAAGACGACTTTAATTTCTCAAGAGATACCACCAGGGATTCACGATTGACCTCTATACTTGAACGTGACTACTTACACAATACGTTCAATGAGACACTGGCTGTAACTGGTTGTATCCATGCTTCGTGAAAGACGAAAGAGACCAATTCTTTCTTGTTAAATGCTCTCGTAATGTTGAGAGACAATAAACTCCAGCTTCGATACGTTTCGTTTCCTGGTAGATATTCCGTGAAAAGCTCCCCATTGGAAGAAACATTGGTCGTTTCCAAGAACCACTGTATTCGTCGAACAGGAAGAGATGAATTTTCAGCCACGCATTTGATAAACAGCAACTGCCACTCTTGTAGAGTGATTATTGCGCCTTGGGGAAGTCTTTTGTCTTCAAGCTCTATGTAAGGCTCTACAGGTGGATCTGGAACCAACAAGCGGAATTATGAACAGAGCCCTATTCTTTCCCCTTACAAAATTTACAGAGGGTAATAATAAATTACAGAACCTTATCTAAAATTATGTTGCATCTTATTGCTAATATTGTATTGTAAAAACATAGACTTAGTCAATTCTTTGGTTTTTACTACAACAGCAGCCTTGTCCTACAAAGTGTTTCTTCGGTCTTATTAAAAATTTTCTCAGTTCCTTTTCTCAGATTCTGTAAAGATACAAAATGACCTAATTAAGCACTACGTTAAACACCGTGTCAGCTCTGCTGGTAGAGATGCTGCTTCTTTAAAACAATTTATAATGATAGAAACTAAAACACGTTCAGCATTATCAGTGGGTGACGTCATCATAATCTACTAGCATAATCCTCATTAAAAACAACAAAAGTTGGTTGTGGTGCAGAAGATTATTAAATTTGGTTGACTTGTTATAATAAAAAAAATCACCTAGTGCATAAAACTAACTCTTGAGCATTCAAAAGTAAAAATATAATTACAGAAAATTCAAAGCCGTTAAAACGTTTATTGTTTTTGAAACCTACTCAGCACAGTAAGTTCCAGTATTTCAACTTTACTCCCAACTGAACCATCATCTCTAACTTTGCCACACTCCCACAGTCCCTCATCAGAGGTGGCGACATCTTGGATTGTAAGTGCTGCGATCCCGTTACGAGTTACGTTCCATAATCTACGATTGGCAGTTATAGCTTCCAGGACCACTGGCTGGCCGTTTTGTAACCACTGAACTGTTCCGCCAGGTGTCTCCAATTCGCAGGGAAGACTGACCGTTGCTCCTGCTTGCACTGTTTTCTTAATACCCTTTTCCATTTGTTTTGAAGCTAAAATAATAATGATAATAATAACATTAATTTGTAAGTTAAAACAGGATATTGTTATGGTACGTTATGATTTCATCAACACAGCGAGGTTGCTAAAAATTTCGTAAATTTTCTATTTCGGGTTTTTTTGTTTGTTTTAGTGCAAAACTATACAATAGGCTACATGCATTCTATCCACTGCGGTCTATCGTACCCCGGATTTTAGCGTTGTAAGTCCATACATTTACATCTGGCCCACTGAGAGACTCTATTTAAGGAGAATGTGTTACTTATAAAATAAAAAATATTATTCTACATTATAAAGTTTAACACACAACAAATAGAACTAAACTTAAACCAATTATTCTACATTATAACGTTTAACACACAACAAATAGAACTAAACTTACACCAATTATTCTACATTATAAAGTTTAACACACAACAAATAGAACTAAACTTACACCAATTATTCTACATTATAAAGTTTAACACACAACAAATAGAGCTAAACTTACACCAATTATTCTACATTATAACGTTTAACACACAACAAATAGAACTAAACTTACACCAATTATTCTACATTATAAAGTTTAACACACAACAAATAGAACTAAACTTACACCAATTATTCTACATTATAACGTTTAACACACAACAAATAGAACTAAACTTACACCTACAAATAGGAAGAGATTTATTACATCATTTCATTACTGCTTCATGTCTCTTTTTTTTTAGACATCATGCTTCAAAATGCTACAAAATAATCTAATTGTAGGACATAAACCACTGCTGATAATTAAAACATTCATGTTATTGTAACTTCAGAGAATACGATACAATAGATATCCTCAAGCTTAGTTCTGTGTAAGTTTGATGAAACAGAATATTGTTTCAGGTTAGATACTGGTTTGGAAATAAATCGGCTCAGTTTTAAATAAATTAACATTTTTTTTCATTTGTGATTCACCATAACAAATATGAACACAACTAAGCTTGGTCTAAGTGCAAAAAGAAATAAAAAAAAAACGATAGTGCCCTTTCAACTTGTTCATTACACGAACTACGTCACAGTTATCTTATTACAGGCAAATGATAAACATATCCTTGTGAACGCGTTCCAAGTCCTTATACCTTTTATAAAATCTAAATTAAAAGATATAACTGCCTTATATATATATAGAAATTAATATCCTCTATCTGAAATGTGACAAAAGGGTTACGTATAACAATATCCCCTTATCAGGGCTTCAACATTAAGAATGATAGGCTGCTTATATAAAATTTAATATAAAACATGACTATATATTCAGTTTTATCAACACACAGCTTGGATAATTTACTAACGTCAACATCCTGGGCTTTGTATTACAGTCAAGCATAAAAAACAAATAATACTGAATTTATTTCTCTTACACACACGTACAAGTCACTAAATTATATTGGGATTTTCAGAACATCTTAAAGAATGGCAATCCTTTAAAAAAAACATTCGGGTTACTTCAGGCAACGAAGAAATAATTTCAGAACTTCTAATAGTTTTATTGAATGTATGACAGTACCTTTAGATAATTGAATAAAGAGGGAAAAAATGGAATTTAAAAGTTGGACGGTACTTTTTTGCTCACGTTAGCTAAAGTTTCGGTAAAGAAATCCCTAGGGTTCATTTGTAGCCGACGTGGATATTGGACTAATGACTAGAGTGACGGCAGACAACCAGCAACATATGTGCCACAAGAGTTTCGTTCGTTTTTTTTTTTAACCGAATAGCGAGAATGACTGTCCCCTTTATAACGCGCCCAGAGCTGAAAGTACGGAGCATATTTATCGGCATCACTTCTCGAACCTTGAACCCTTCAATCTCCTAACCTGATGTACACCAAATTATTACTCTAAATATCTGTGTCTTAACATCAGTGTATTGGCGTTCAAGAATCAAACCTCGAGACGCATGATTAACAAATCAATGAAAGATTCAAGAGATCTGCATTTCCGATGAAACTTATTTTTTCTCATGTCCCGGATAAATTAATAAAAACTTGAAATATAAATATAATATATCAACTTTTGCTATTGGTGTGTTAGCGTCAATAAAATTTTGATGTTGAAAATTTTTTCCAAAATCTTGATGGTCTAATGGTTAGGAAGTTCGACATGCTAGCCATTTCAGCCATCGGAGCGTTATAATGTGACGGTGAATCCCACTATTCGTTGGTAAAAGAGTAGCCCAAGAGTTGGCAGTGGGTGGCCTTCCCTCTAGTTTATTATTGCTAAATTAGGGACGACAGTTTGTTCTTTCAGTATTAAAATTATTCATTCTTATGAATGATACCTCCCCTTTTTTGTGGAGGGGTTATATTTTAATAGTTCCAATTTAGCTGGAAAGGACTATACTTCATACTAATCAGAGACACTGGCAATAAATTAGTAAAAAAATAAACAATTAACTCCTAAGAACATTCGAATTGAGTATAAAAAAACACAGAGTACGTATAACATTATGTCCTAGGTATAGGTGTAAATGATGTTTTTCCTTGTCAACGTCACTATTGTACATTAGGACAAACGAGAGAAAAAAAATATTGACGAATATTGTAAAAAACAACAACAACAAAAAACGCGCATTAGCAACATACACATTTAAACTAAAATAACTGTTTTGTTTATCAATCCACACAGAAGCATGTAAAGTAAAGAATCCCAGTTGTACAGTTGCTTCTTTGAGAGATCCCGTTTACTTACTATAATTTACTAACATGAACCGTTATTACTAAAGTATCATTCAAGTGCTTCGCAATCTGAGAGTCGCGGAATCAAAGCAGGTCGCTAAACATACTCACCCTTTCAGTTGTGAAGGGGGGGGGGCGTTATATTGTGGCGATAAATCTCACCATTCTTTATGAAATAGTAGCTCATTTGTGGGTGGTTTTGACTAGCTGCCATCTTTTGAAATTAAAGGCAGCTAACGTAAGGAATAGCTTTGCGCGAAATCCAATAAATAAACAACTCCATCTATTGATCTAAGTTGTTTGTTCCTTCAGTGTTTTTTTTTAAACAAAATTTATTGTTTATTGTCTTTGTAATAGGCACACCTTGTATTTTGGAATTGTAGCAGCTGTAATAATGTTTCACCTGCAGAAGTCGCTCCTGAGTTACGCATAAAATAGTCTTATAATAAACCTGGTTTATCACATAAAATAGTCTTATAATAAACCTGGTTTATCACATAAAATAGTCCTATAATAAACCTGGTTTATCACATAAAATAGTCTTATAATAAACCTGGTTTATCACATGTCTATCACATAAAATAGTCTTATAATAAACCTGAATTATTACATGTTTATCACATAAGATAGTCTTATAATAAACCTGGTTTATTACATAAAATAGTCCTATAATAAACCTGGTTTATCACATAAAATAGTCTATAATAAACCTGGTTTATCACATGTTTCTCACATAAAATAGTCTTATAATAAACCTGGTTTTTGACGTTTTCGTTGGAACGCATACTTTTATTTTGCATGGATCTTAGACTAGAATTGTCAATCTTCCACTACTTGTACTGGTCCTGGAAACAAGGTTACTTCAGGAATGGAACACTAATTAGCGCCACACATACGCTAAAACTCTGGGATTTTGCGTAGACGAGAAATACACCCTACGTGCCATGTTCAACACTAGCAGGAACTGAAAAGATGGATAAAAGGAGGCGCATGTAGGGGAAGATAGGGAGGTTTGCTGGGAAAAGCTAGTTTTCTAATTAACCGTCGTCATTACAGGACAAAATTACTAACAGGAAGACTTCAATAATCCCGCTAGAGAAGTAAGTGATGAGAAGGAATCTAATGGTCTTCTCTTGTTTTCGGGCATTCATCTCCTTAAACAGCGTGGTCTAACATGATCGAATGGACTGTGTCAAACAAAGGAATCTGAACACTGGCTACTATTCACTTTCTCAATTATTTCTTATCTCGTAACGCTTGCCAGTGTGTTTGTGAGTTTCAAAACTTTCTCCACTTTCTTGTCTGTTCTAACTCGCTTCCTTCCATAGCGTTAAAACCACTTAGTTTCAATTTTAACACCCGACATACTTCAAAAGCTGTAAAAAATAAATAATCCCATGTCTGTCACGTGGGGGCTTTTAGGATTCGCTCGGAGTTGCGCTCTCAAGGCGAATGCTTTAGCTCAACACTGTTAACACTGATACCAAGCTACCCCTCTCGAGCAACGCATCTTACCTTGACGTTTCGCTTATTAATTGTGATATTAACATAACATTAATAAATTAAAGACGTTTCGCTTATTAATTGTGATATTAACATAACATTAATAAATTAAAGACGTTTCGCTTGTTAATCGTAATATTAATATAACATTAAGAGATTAAAGACGGTTCGTTTATTAGTCATAATATTAATATAACATTAAGAGATTAAGTAATATTTCATGGACCAACTTTGGTAGTCCTTCGAAAGATGTTAATAATGACGATAGTAACCTGTTACCTTACAGACATTCTATATTCCAACTGAATATCTTAATCCTATGTCCCTCCATTCTCGAGTCAGTTCATAAATGAAATATTTCAAGAAAATCCGTATTTAAGGGAAAATCAACAGTTTCCAAGTTGAATACGTTACTGTCTAGGCTTAGAAGACTACCACGTCTCTGTTTAAAGCATAAAAATCTGGTGTCTAGGCCATCTTATGTCTGTATAGAGACACAACAATCTGGAGTCTGGAATACCACGTCACTGTATACAGATACAACAATCTGAAGCGTAGACTACAACAATCTAGAGTCTAGACTACCACGTTACTGTATACAGATACAACAATCTGAAGTCTAGACTACTAAGTTACTGTATACAGATACAACAATATAGAGTCTAGACTACCACGTTACTGTATACGGACACAACAATATAGAGTCTAAACTACCACGTCACTGTATACAGATACAACAATATAGAGTCTAAACTACCACGTCACTGTATACAGATACAACAA